TGAGCTGTTATAAACATTGCTGTAGTGGACTTCCTTATACACACATCTTTGTACATATTTGCAGGTATTTCTATGAATATTTTCAGGTAACATTAGCTCAGAAGCATTTACATTTACACTATTGGTTACTATTTTCAAATCATTTCCACAAGAGAGGGAGGGAGGGAAGGAGGGAAGAGAGAGAGAGAGAGAGAGAGAGAGAGAGAGAGAGAGAGAGAGAGAGAGAGAGAGAAATATACTGGAGATCAAACACAGAACCTCTTCCATGCTTAGCAAGCATTCTATTTGAAATTATACTTTTCTCTGGATTTTTTAAACAGGGACTCACTTTTAGCATTATCTAGTCTGGAACTCACTAACTCATGGCCAGTCCTCCTGCTTCAGCCTCCCATGTGCTGGTTTGCAGGAGTGAACTACCATGCTCAACTTGAAGAGTGTCTCCTTCCCTCTTCCATATCCTCACCAACACTGTGGTGTTTTTCCATCATTATGGATGAATGCATGGTATAGCCTTGTTTTAATTTGTATTTGCAAAATTTTAATGATGTTGATAGATATTAGTATTTCCTCATTGAATTTTCAACTAATTTACAATTCTTAAGAGTTGAAAAGCCCTTTATAGGTTTCATCACAATATTTTACTTTAATACTGTTTAACTTTAATATTTACCTATAATCTGTTACTTTTCTTGTAACTTTCCTGTGTCATTATGGCATTTTGTTGTCAGAGAGTTTCTGGGTTTGTTTTGTTTTGTTTTGTTTTGTTTTTTAAAAAAAACAAAAACCAGTGTCATTATGTAACCGTTACCTGGCCTTGAACTTGAAATTCTTTTACCTCGGCTTCTGAGTGCTGGGATTATAGACAGGTGCCATCAGGTTACATTAATTTTTTATTACTTTTTTGTACAGTGTTAGAGATTGAAATGAGGTTCCCAAATTGCTAGGCAAGGATTTTGCCACTGAGCTACATTCCCAATTCCTCAGCAGTAATTTTTAAAATTTTAAAACAAGTCAAATAAGTCATTTTCTTTAAAACTTGTAGAATCTGTGAATTTCTCTGTGTCCTGTAAGTTAAATATCACCCTACTTTTTCTTCAGCACTGTCACAGTATATACAGTCATTTCTCTGCATCTAAATGTTCTATATCCACAGATTTAATGACTATATTGAAAATATTCTGAAAAATTCATCTAAACGTATGGACTTTTCCTTCATTATTACCTTAACAATGCAACATAACAACTATTTATGGAGCCTTTATATTCTTTTGGGTATTATAATTAAAGAATGTGAGATGATTTGTATAAACTTTATACATATACTAAACAATTTTATATGAGATCCTTGTAGATCTACAGACTTCATACCCATGGGGTGCAAGAAGTACTTGAACCAACCACCCATTGAAGCTGAGGGACAGATGGATATGTTATTTTTTCTTAGCCAATCTGAATTCTGGTTTTGATACTGACATGAACTAGGAATATTCTTCAGATGGATATCTAACTCCTTCCATTCAATATATCACTGTAATTAATTTGAATAGAAAGGGAGTGGGTTGGAATATAGAATATTAATATAACTAAGGTCAGATTTCATTGCTTTAATTAATGATATTTTGATGTAATTTTTTAAATCCTTATTGTGCTTTTTCCAACAACTTACTAGTTTCCATGAAAATGGGTGATATTTTGGCTTTAATTGCCCTGAATTCAAAGTAACTCTAAAACATTTACAGCAATTTGAGAGTATGATGGTCTTTACCCTATTAAATATGTTGAGTAGGAAATGACATCACATTATATTTATGGCTTCATATGTTTTTAGAGAAGGAAATCTTTCAGCATTATAAAGTTGCTACCTATAGGTTGTAACTATGGGGCATTTTACAGTTTCTCATTTTGTGTTATATTTTTGAATGCTATTGAGTTTTGTATGCTAAATTTTAGATATTAGCTTTGCTTTACTGAATTCTACTTAGTTTTAATATTTTTTCTATTAAATTCCTTGGGTTTGCCAAGTAATCTGGATCAATCTGTAGTTAATCTGTAACAACAAATTCTGGATTTTCTTTTGTAATTATTTCTACCTATTTTTCTACATGCCCATGTAATTTATCAGACTGAATGAGCTATCAATGAAAAGTATCTTACATTTTCTGCAGAGTAAAATGCTTGTATAGTCACCTGATTGTTAGGTGTCTCAAAACTATCATTTTTTTAATGTATAATCTTACTGCTTTTGCTTGATTTATTTAATTTCACAATATCTGCAAATGAGCTCCATAAGGCAGCATAACTGGGAGAGAACATTTTGATAGTGTTGTCTATGATCCTGAAAAAAAATTAAGGAGGTGTTAACATACTGAAGGTTGTTTTTCCATACTTACTTTACACACACATGGGTACACACAGGGACATACACATGTATGCACACCTATTTACTTACTGTCTTCTAATTAAATTGTGTTATATTCTAGAAAAAAATATCATTTACTCCTTGAGCCACAATTATATACTTAGACTTTTTAATAGAAGTAGATGAGTAATAAATATTAATGGAATAACTTGCAGAACAAAATCTACTTTGTGTATGTATATTTTTGAATTTGATTCCCCTCAACATGGTGCATTGTGGTTCCTACATTGTGGTTCATGTAACCCATCAACTTATTTCCTTAAATGCGGTCTGTTTCATGTTCATGGCCTCTTTTATAGTTATTATTGCTTACATACACACACACAATTAAAAAATAACAATAAAACTTAAAAATTACTTAGTGTATTCCTCTGTTACTTTAGTTATCATATCATATCCCGGTTGCTTAACTTCTGTGTCCTTTTTGAGCTACTTAAGACTATTCCTTTTCCAGTGTTTAGCATGGTGGCTGGCACTGAGTTAATTCTCTGAAATTTGGTTGAATGAACAAATGTAAATAAGCGACTACCCAAAACTGGAAGTGAAAGGTGAAAAGGACTAAGAGAAAGCCATAAGTTTAACAATTTAATAAAAATATTAGAGGGTTCTGTGGGAGGGACACAGGAAGCATATTTCCTGAGAGTATAAATAAAAGTACAAAGTCCACAGTACAGAATCGTGAATTTTAATGCAGCAGTGCCTACTGTGGAGAGAGAGAGTAGAGATCCAGTGAGATTCCTGGAGTCATGAGACTGTGAAAACATGGTGGCATCAAGATGGACCACAGGTAAAAAAAATAAGTCCACTCAGGAACAGGCCTACCAAGGACATTGTTTTGAAAAGTAGAAACCATGAGGATCCACACTTCGTGCACTTCTGCAAGAACAACCTGTACTCTTGGTTTATAGAAAACAAGAGAATTGCAAATGTTCCAGAAAAAACATTTGCAAATTTACCTGGAACAGCAGCGTAGCTTGGGAAGTAGTAGATGCATTTTTCATCTTTGACCCTCTGTTCTGCTTTCTATTTTTATTATAGTTTTAAAATATGTTTTTTTTTGTTTTTTTTTTTTGTTTTTTTTTTTTGTCTTTTTTGAGACAGGGTCTCCCTGTAGCCCCAGCTGTCCTGGAACTCACTTTGTAGACCAGGCTGGCCTTGAACTCACAGAGATCCGCCTGTCTCTGCCTCCCGAGTGCTGGGATTAAAGGCATGCACCACCATGCCCAGCCCCTTAAATATTTATTTTTAAAAATATTTTATTTATTATTTTTATCTTACATGTATCAGTGTATTGCTTACATGTGTATAAGTATACCCATGTCATGCAATGCCTGTGGAGGTCAGAATAGGGCATTGGATTCCCTGGAACTGGAGTTAAGGACAGTTGTTAACCACCATGTGGGTGCTGGGAATTGAAGCCAGGTCCTTTGCAAGAGCAGCCAGTGCTCTTAACCACTGAGCCATCTCTCAACCCTAAATAAGTACTTTTAAAAGTTATTTATTCCTAGGTTTTAAGATTTTGAGTGGAGACTTATGAAGTTTTTTTCAGGCATAATTTTGATGTTTAAAGATCTTAAATTTAATTGAAAATGACATTTTATTTTAGGTATTGATTTGGACTTGGCTGATGCATTTCTGTCTTGCAAATATTCTTCAGTGTACCGAGAGTGATTTGATAACTACTTCAGTTCTTTTTCAAATAGCCACATTTATTGTCTGTAGTAGTTTTCTGAAAGACTTAAGTTGGAAATAAAGACTGCCAAAATCTTACTTATTTTATAGGCTTTCAGCAATATGTTGATAGTCATTTCCTAGAGAGGTCCAATGAAAATTTAGTTTAAATCTGCATACAAGTAAACTGACATATGATAGATGAGAGCTTTAGTTTTATCAAGAAATAACAGAACATTCTACTTATTATTATATTCTAATTAAATGAAAGGTGATATTACTCTTTTACACAGTAAAGTTTGTGGCTACTCCTGTCTCCTGTTATTAAAATTAATAAAGTGACATACATTTTAAAATTAGTAAGCTATTTTTATTCTGATTCCATTTCACTTTTTTTAACATCTCAATTTTAAAAACAAAATGGTTGTGTATCAGAAATGCATCAGGCACTGGTGAGATGGATCAGTGAGTGGGTAAGAGCACTTGCTAAGCAAGCACGAGGACCTCAATTCAAATCCTCAGAAACCAGGTAAAAAGCCAGGCATGATAACTTGTGTATTCCAGAAGATGTTGGAGGTGCAAAGACAGGAAGATTACTGGCTACTAACCAAGCTTCAGGTTCAATGAGAGACACTATCTCAAGGGAACAGGGAGAAAAGTAACAGAGCAGAATATCCAGTATCCTCCTCTGGCCTCTGCATGTGCATCCTGTACACACACATACACATACACAACACATGTACACTACACTCATACACATACACACATATGCATACACACACACAACACACACCAAAAATTTAAAAAGGGAGAAAGAAGAAATGCATCATAGTATTTTTTGTGTTAACAGTTTGGGACACGGAAAGCTATCTTTTCTGTATTATCATTTGCTCTTGGCCTCTTGCTGTAGGTTTTCAACACGTACTCCAATGAAGACTATGACAGGAGAAATGATGAAGTTGACCCTGTGGCCGCATCTGCTGAGTATGAACTTGAAAAGCGTGTAGAAAAACTGGAACTTTTCCCAGTGGAACTAGAGAAAGGTACATGAGCACTACAGTGTGTAGAGTATCTTTATGCTGCTATGCTAGTAATGTAGGATTCTTCTTCTAAAGTGTAGCCTTGTTTCTAAGAACTGAATAAAGCTGTAACTCTCAGAGGGTCTATTTGTTAAGTGTCAAAATTAGTTGATGTGGGTTTTGTTGAGTAGATGATGTATTAAACCTCCCTCATCTTACCAGCTCCAAAATCAAACCCAGTTTCTTTATGTGGTTGGGGTGGTGGTTCAGATGGAGGAGGTTCATGTATGATGTCCATTGATTTGATATTATTCCTTGAAGGGGCTGGTAGGGGTGAGAACCCAGAGAGAGCTAGTCTAAATAAGAAAATGGGATGGAAGATTTGGGAATTTTGTTTGGTTTTTGGTGGAGGGGAATAGTTATCGTTAGGTTCAGAATGTGTTGGGGGTGTGTGAGAAATCTGCTTAGAAAATTATGGGGATGTGGATTGAAGGCAGTGAGATGCAAGAAGCTTGAAACAGAAGAGCTAATTCTTTGTCTCTAAGGGGAGAAGGTTGAAAGGAATCAAGGAGAGGAGGGAGGAGAGGGCTTCATTCTGAATTCTCTCATTGGAATACAGCACCTGCCTGCTACAGGAATCACTGGCCTATGGACTAGAGAGATGACTGTGTTTATCATCACGTGAGATGGGCACTCAGGAACTGATTGTGACCCAGTGAACACAGAAATAACACACCTGACAGGACTTTAGAAAAGGCAGAATGAACAGATGACAAAAAAGGTGTGGGGGAGCTCACCCAGGTAGTTTTTAAAAGGCGTTCTTAAATACATTAGCATAAAAATTCACTGGTTTTCCTATGAAAAATTTAACTTGAGAGCTAGAAGGCAAGCATGAATATTGTTGCGACTCAAATTGGTGACCTAGAAGATCCAGTGTACTAAATGTCCCCACACCAAATTCAAATGATAGCAAACATCCAAGAGAGCCATGGAATAGCACCAGTATATAAATAGTGGGCAACGGAAGAGGGGAAGACAGTGCTGGAAGAGATATGTAATAAATAATAGTAAAAGAAGAATGTTTTCTTCAACAGAGAAAACCTTTGTTGAGCAGCATGTCAGAAAGGACTTTAGTTGTAAATGATAAGGCTAAAAACTCCCTCAGTAGATAGAAAATTCTAATGGACAGAGATAAATTTAAAAATCTTACAAAAAACTCCAAAGTAAAAGAATAAGCAAAAGTATTTGAATGTGAAAAATGACAAGAACAGTGTCAGACTGCTTTGAGCCCTAGCAGCATGGAGGTGGAGGTGAAATTTCATGGTCCACTGAGAAGAGAATCTCAGGTCTACCCTAGAGCGCATGTAATTGTCCAGAGGAAAGAAAGGACTTTGCTGATTTGTAAAATTTTAAAGAACATATATTTTATCTGAGAAATTTACATCCCAGTTAGCAAGGAGGAAAGGAAACAAGCAGTTTGCTCAAAATAGTAAAGATAAAGATAGAGGTGAGTTCTGTTTAAGTATTAAATGTAAAATCACATGGGAGACTATAACGTAAAGATCAGCCATCATTACACTCAGCATTCTGATGACTCCCATAAAAGACACTTTCATTTGGAGTTAAAATAAATTTGAGTGATGCTTTCATTTTTCATATATTTAAAATAGCAACCATCTTTCGATTAAGCATCTTATAAAAAGAACCTAGAGCCAGGCATGGTGGTGCACGCCTTTAATCCCAACACTCGGGAGGCAGAGACAGGTGGATCTTCTGTGAGTTCGAGGCCCGCCTGGTCTACAGAGTGAGTAAGTTCCAGGCAGCTGGAGCTACAGGGAGACCCTGTCTCAAAAAGACAAAAAAAGAACCTAGAGTTGGCTGTGTGTCTTGTAGTGCTGATAGGAGCCAAAATTGAGGACACCCCAAATACTCATCAGTGACAGAGTCTGTACGTGATAGCTTATCTAGTCAGTAACAATGCTCTTCAGCTGTGATGATGAGTGAACTGCAGTCCATGCAGCATTATGTGTGAGTTTTATAAACAAAGCTGAGGGAAAGTTAGAAAGCAAATCACAGAAGTCGTTCACTTATAATTCCATTTATTTAAATTTCAAAGCTAGGGGAAATTGAACAGCATATTGTTTAGAGATACACAAGTAAATGTGTTTTTTTAAGTTAGTATTTAAAAAGGAAAATGATTGACACAATATTTAGTAACATAGTCACCCAAAGAAGAGCTGGAGAACAAGCAGGTAGGGACATATAGGTAGCTTTCAGGGTACTGACTGTGTTCTATGTGCTTCTTAGTACATTTATATTTGTTGTTTTGTTTCCTTTTTTCAAACAAGGTCTCACTATGTAGCCCAGGCAGTCCTTGGATACTATAATTTCTCTAAGTGGTCTCAAACTTGTGGTCCTCCTGCCTCAGCCTATCAAATGTTAGGATCACAGGCCCCTTCCAATTTGCCTGACTGATTTTTTTATGGTTTGTTTGTTCTTGTTGTTTGTTTGAGACAGATTTTCTCTGTGTAGCCCAGTCTGACCTGAAATTTATGATTCTCCTGTCATAGCCTCTTGAGTGTTAGGATTCCAGGTGTACCCCAGGACACCTGCTTGTTTTTGTTCTTTAAACGTGTTTCACAGATAAGTAAATGATTCAATAAACTTTATTATTTATATGTTTTAGTCTAAAATTTAAAATGGAAAAATTAAAATAAAAGATAACCAAATGAAATAAAATTATTGGAGATTTCAGTGCATTTCTTTTCTAAATAGATTTATCTATAGACAAAAAACAAATGAAGGGACATAGGAGTAGATTAACATAATCAAATCCATTGAAAGTTATCTACAAAAAGGAAGCTATTTCCTTACTGGTTCCGTTGGTAGAGTATGAGACTGTTAAAAAGGAAAAAAATCTTACTTTGGAAAAAAAGTTAAAACCTCTTTAATATCATGGGAATTTGGAAATTATAAAAAATCTTAGATGTTTTATGGAAAATTGAGGCTATTATTCCAAGATTTTGGAAAGGGATTTTTTAAATCTACAACATACAATAAAAGCCTTACTCAAAACAAAACTTATTTTCTTAACTTCTTTCTTTAAAATAAAGGCTTAAGAAAAAAGCATTTGTCCAAGAAATCAGAAAAAGTGAACAAAATACATTTACAAAAATAAGAAGGAATAATATAAGCCAGGTGTTATGACCCATGTCTATAATCCCAACATAGGCAGCAGAGGCAGAAGCATCAAAGATTCAAGTCCATCCTGGGCTGTTTAGTGAGATCCTTTCTCAAAAGAGCGAAAAAGAAATAGCTAGGCAGGGAGAACAATATAAAGACAAAATAAATGACATAGGAAAGAGAAAATAGTAAAATAAATAGTGCAAAGATTTTTATTGGCTCAATCCAGTGCATCACAGTGTTGACTGAAGAACACTAAAGTCAGATAATTACAGACTAGAAATCCATAGTAAATGGATGTAGATGTACAGTATGAGAGTAGCCAAGGCACTGAATTTTTCTGCACAAGTGATGAGTAGCTAGCAATGATTTATTACTTAGAAGTTTGAATTATGCAGGTCAATTCGGCAACATAGACTAATTGCCATAGAAGAAGTTGAAAGACATCTACAGGTAAAATATTAAAAGCTCTTCAGAACCAAGTGGTTCCATTGCACATTATACATAATACATAAAGAACATATGAAACCAGTGTTATTTAGACTTTTATATCTGATAAAATGAAGGAAAACTCTTTGACTCATTCCATCAAATATCATCTAAGTTTTTTTTAACCCCAAACTAATACATAAAAAAGATGACTGTAGTACAACTCCAAGTCTGAATATATGTTCTAAAATTGTGAGTGAAACAAAATGTCGAACATAGAGCTATTTAAAGAGAAGACAATAAGATCAAATAGGCGTTTTTATATGTGAAAATAAGGTAGCTCATTATTAGCAAAGTTAACTTCATAAAATTTAAAGGAAAAAGATCTGTATTTCTATAGAAAGATATTTGGTAAGGTGTAGCTATTTCAGATTATGATGTAAATTAGCACCTGATGGAAGCAGCCTAAATATTATACAAAGGGTAAAATGCAATACCAACAGAGAATTCCAAATTACGGAAGCACTGAAAATGTTCTGGTGAAAGCCTGTAGACAAACTTGGATGACCTTTACGTGAAATGGTCAGTCTAAAGAACAAAAGATTCAATATTGCAAAAAAATCTCCTGTTGCTGACATACTCATATCCATAGTTGTTCGGTCAGACTTCTTTGACAGAAGCATAGCACCTGTGATAGTAACTTGGAGACAAGCTAGTTTTGGCTCATGGTTTTGGTCCATGGCAGGTGGACATTGCTTCGGGGCCTGAGGTAAGGTGGTAGAGGGACGTGCCTGGCAGCTAAGACTGCCAAGAAGGAAAAGAGAGAGAGAAGAGGGCCTGAGCTCCCAATATTCCCCTCAAGGGCACACCGGTGTCCTAACTTCTTCTCTTAGACTTCTTAAGGTTCCACCACCTCTGATAGATCAGGCTAAGGACCAAGTATGTGACACATTAGTCTGTGGGGGCATTTATCCAAACCACAATATTTCTATTCATCTTGGAGACCTATTTTAACTTTTAAATATTAGAATTGCTAAGATAATTTGTGAAGGAAGAGATCCAACTCAAGATCTATAAGAAAATTAGTCATTTTTCTTTATAGTCACATTCACAACTTAGGAGTAAAAATGGGAAAAACATTTCATTTGCAATAACACCAAAATAGCAAAATATATATTATATTTATTATGGTGTAGGATTTATCTGTAGAAAATAATCCAATATCTTGCTGTCTATGGTAACTCATTTTTATAATCCCAGTATTTGGAAGGCTAAGGGAAGAAGATTGGCATGATTTCAAAGTCAGCCTTAGCTACTTTTTGAGTTCCAGATTATATATCCATATATATATAGATACAGCATAATACTCTGTCTCAGAAACAAAACAAAAATGTAAGATTCTAGTCAACTGAAGAATTTTATGCTAGTATGGAAAGATTAGATATAGAAAAGTTTCTCTACAAATTGCTTTGAGTTTATACAGTTCAAATAGGGCTATCAACAAAGTCTAGTTACAAGAGATCATCATGTAAAATAATAATGCATTTTAGATGAAAACTCTATATAGCCCTAAGGAAGGAATAAAAAACATAAAGGGCTTAATTTTCCAAATATCTCAATATAATATAAACTTTCTATAATCAGGACAAATTATATTTACATAGTGATTGGTCATTGGAACAAAACAAAATCTAGGAAAAGATGTTAGTGTAGAAGAAAATTTAATATAGCATACATTTTAGAAGTAACAGGATGCTTACTTATTCTGGCATAGCTGAACATCTATCTAAAGAGCAATAAAGTTTAATATCTTCATTGTATCATCTTTAACAAATTCTGCAAATATTAAAATCAATGTTAAAGCAAAGTAACGATATTGTATTTGAAGAAAATTTATAACACTATCACCTAGGCTATTGAGAATAACCAAAGCACAATGGGAAACCAAAAGTTAGAAAAGATATACCAGTTTGATCAAAACTGCCTTTTAAAGGCAGTTGTGTCAGACAAAAGGAATAGGCAAATGAAAAACTGCATTTTAGCTAGTATCTGTGATATTCTACAACTCTTTGCAAATTGTCAAGAAAAAAAGATACAAAATTCAATAGAAAAATTAACATTTTTGACAGAAGATGAAATCTAATAATCTATGCTCCTACAAGCATACAGGCCCTAATCTCAGCAGCGATGAAGGGAATGTTACACCAACATGAGCTCCTTTCCTGAGAGAGAAAGCAGGCTCAGAGCTTCAAGTCTGGTGACACTATCTTCTGTGATAATAGGGCCTCACTGTCTTTTCCATCTTTTCCTGACTGCTTTGTCTACTTACTGCATTTGCCTGTCCCCAGGACTGTGTAAAGGAAGACCACGGCTACAGGTCACTACTGGGCTACTGGGTTCTTTTAAAATATTATTTTAATTATATTTGTTTGTTTATTTTGTGTGTATGGTGAGTCAGTTGTGTGTGCCAAGATGCAAATGTGGAGGTCAGAAGACAACTTGCAAGAATCGGTTCTTTCTTTCCACCATGTGGGTTCTGGGAATTGAACTCAGGTTGTCAAGCTTGGTGGCAAGCACCTTTACCTGATGAGCAATCTTGTTGGTCCACTGTTGGGTTCTTCACAGTGCAGCCATAGGAGACATTGACTCCGAGTAGGTGGTTTCCAGACATCATTTGTATGTGACACACTTCCCTCTGAACAACAAAGAGTTGAGGTGCTAGAGAGAGTTGTCTGCCTGTGCCCGTGTTCTGCTCTCTTCAGTTGTTTTATCCTGTAGGTAGTTTGCCCTACAACTCAAGATGATTCACATTCATGTCACTTTTCCCAAAACAAGCTTCACATATCAGAAAATTGAAATAATTTTCTAGTTAAAGCAACAAGAAAACCTAAGGAAAGAAGTAAAACAATTTTAAAAAGACCTGAGTCCATTCAGGGAAAATGCATTTAAAACCATAGGATAGTTGTAGGGATTTAATGGCATGACAGTATAGACATTACAGAGGAACCCTTTGAATGAATGGGAAAGTTTAGCCCATAGTTCAACATGTGATCATTTATAAGAAGAGAAACCCTGTAGGTACAGTAAATGTCAGAAGAATTCAAAGACTTCATAAGAGAGAGAAGCCCTATGGTACTCTTCAGTGTGTAAGAGTCTATATAGTAACCATCTTTTAAGTGTAACAAGAGGACAAGTGAGGAAATTTATATGGATATGAACATGGTGGGAAGGCATTCAGTAATAACTCAGCCCTCATTCACAGGAAGATCATTATAGAAAAGAAATCTATGAATATGATGACTATGAAGAATAATTTAGCCACCAGCACACCATGATACCCACAAGAGAATTCAAGTAGGAGAGAAAAAAAATCTCCCATACATAACCAGTATGCAAAAGCCCTCAGCACATGTCTACCTCTGTGTGTAGAAGGAAACTCTGGAGAGAGATCCTCACAATGTAGTAAGTAAAGGAAAATCTTTAGCAAAAAAATCCTCCTGATCATCTTCAGGTAATTTATACCAGGGGAGCAATTTCAGTGAAATAAATAAGAGAAATCTCATATGTACAAACATTCTAAGTATAATGGACTAGGAAAGACTTCAGTGATCACTCACACATTAGTGGGCATGCACGTTCTCACTCTGCAGATTCCTATGCCTGGAGTCCAAGTGGAAATGTCATCAGCTGGGTTTCATATCAGAAAAGTCACCCAGGGAAGACACCGCAGAGATTCCTGTGGCAATGACGGAAATGTGTCACCTCACTGCCAGTTGGCATCATTTGGAACAAATGTAGGACAAAGATGTAGGCTCGTCTAGATGTACTGAGGATAGAAGTTGTAATTAAGGGTGGAACTGGTGACAATTTAATAAGTAATCAATGAGATAAATCTTCCTCAGTGAATATTATAATAATAATAGAAAATTCTTTTAAAAGAATCAGCCATTCTTTTGAGTGTGGGTTTAGTTTTTCTTTAATAACCCATTACTCTTGATTAGCCAGTGTCTGTTTTTTATGCTAGCGATAAATCATGATTACAAAGACTTTGAGGTCATCAGAAAATAACCTTGAATGTTAACAAAAAGTATAGTACATAAATAGTTTTTTTGATTGGTGTTAAATTGTGTATAGTCATGGACAGGACAAAAGGAAATATGAAAAACACATGACTTGTAAGTGAATTAAAAAATTTCAGTATTGTTCACAGGGTTAATAAAATGGAAACAAAGGTGACTGATTGCTAGTAGAGAAATGATTTAATATACTATTATATCATATCATGATAAAATATTTTACAGTCATTAGAAATTATTTAGAACTATTAAGTCTATCCATGAGGTATCATTAATTTTAAACATGTAAGATGGAGAAAGAAATAGAGTCTCATTTGTGTAAAGAAAAAAAAGGGTACAATTAACATATAAGTATGGGTTTGTATGTATATGTATATATGTACGTATAGGTATGTACATTAATATATTGTTGTTGATGAGTATAGATGCTCATGTAGAAGCATAGGGAAGAACACTTACATGCACTATATTTTTTTCTTTTTCTTTCTTTTTCTTTTTTTTTTGTATGCTAGGGATCAAGCTCAGGGCATCAGGCACAGTAGGCAAGTGCTCGGCCTCTGAGTCACACAGCATACCATCTTACTAATGTGACTAGATAGGAAAAAAAGAAAAGTTGAATTTCCAAGTAATCATGAGTTATATTTACTTAAAATGATAGATGTCATTGAGTATATGTGTGTTGATGCCTAAAATAGTTCATAGGATGATTTGGAGGCTCGTGTGTTTTAAGGTAGATTGATTATTCAGTAACCAAATTGTTGTCTTTTCTGGGACCACAGTAGATTACCAACGGTAGTAGAAAAATGTCTGAAACCCTTGAACCATTTAGGGACACTTACTTGATCTGTGTGGGCAAATGTATCATTTGTCCTTTGCACAATGAAGAACAGAATCAGAAGCAGCCCATAGGCCTCTCCAGCTGATTAAGGAGCAGGACCAGGGCAAAACCCAGGCTGTTCACTGGCTTTTCTTTTTCCTAGATGAGGATGGTCTTGGTATAAGTATTATTGGAATGGGTGTTGGCGCAGATGCTGGGCTTGAGAAGCTGGGAATATTTGTCAAGACAGTAACAGAAGGTGGTGCTGCTCAGCGGGATGGCAGGTAAGCTAGCATGGTTGTCTATGACAAAAGTCCTAGGGAACAAGTCTTCAAATTTCTCTCAGTGTCATCTTTTGATTTAAAAAAAAAAAAAAAAAACTTCAGTGTTTCACAGATGTAGGGAATGTGAAAACAAATTATTCCTTTCTTATTTATAAACAAAATGTCTTTGTGATATATGGTAGATAAACAACTGAGTGGATCTTTCTGTCTACCTTTATTTCTACCCATCCATCCATTTATCCAGTGGAAAGTGGGCCAAAATATTGGTGTATATGGTTGAAGAACATGTTCTGGGAAAGTCAGTATATAATTTTATTTCAGAAATATTGAAGTGAATGATAAATCTCAGGACAGAGGGAACTTGGGAATGCTGCTTCTGCACAAAGGGGCGGTCTGAAATGTTCTAGTGCTTTTCCATATCTTCTGTCTGGAAACAGGCGGTAGAGTGCTGCCTGAGCTTTAGACTGACAATCTCTAGAGCAGAGGCTGGCAGTCTGCACTTACCCATCCACAGCAGAGCACTAGGTAATTGTGGGCTAATGTTTTAGCTTTCATCAGCTTACACTACATGTGTCTTTAATGGAAAGACTGAGCTTTGTAACAGGCTGCTGGTATAGTGGGGTAAAACTGGAAGCAGAGAGCTGGCAATAGAAATCAATAGCAACCTTAAGTTAGGACAACCAAATGCAAAGAAATAACAATGAATAAATAGCATTTTTATGTTGAATTATGTCACTTAACAGCCTTATCAAGAAATAATCTGTGAACCTCCTTGGAAACTCACAGTGACATTATTTCCTGTATAATCCCAAAATACTTGCTGGTGTACACAGTGTACTACAGGGTACTAAGTTGATTTATTTTATTTGTTGTTTTGTTTTCTTGAGTCAGGATGTCACTATGTATCCCAGGCTGACCTCCCCATCCATCTCCCGAGTGCTATGCACACCACTAAACCTGGCTGGAAGACCATGCCTTCTGTGTTGTCTCTTCAGTGGGGTTAGAGACCACGTCTTAGTCACTGGTCTTGGTTGTATTCCCTCAGCAAATAGTATAATACTTTGCAGAGAGAAAGTCTGAAGTGAATCTTCTGGGTGAATGTTCAGTTGACTACATGTTTATCGCTCAGAGTAGAATATAACTATTTTGTGTTTGAAAATAATTTATTGTTTTTCTTTCTTCCAGTGTGGTAGTTAAGTATATAAACTCTTTGACCCTTCAATGATTTATATAATGATACTAATATTTCCTATTTCTAAGTTACATTTATTTATTTATTTATTTATCTGTTTATTTATTTGTGTGTGTGTATGTGTCTGCACATGTGCCCCAGTGCCTTTGTGGAAGTCAGAGAACTCACCAGGGCTGGCCTCGCCCTCTACCACACGTGTTCCTGGGATTGAGCCCAGGTTATTCTGCTTGGTGGCAAGCACCCCCACCCACTGAGCTATCCTGTTGGCCCAGTAGTTCCCATTTTTATTTTGCTTCCAAGTGAGCTATACTTTATAAAATCTACTTCAGTTGTCTTATGTGATGAAACATTTTAAGTCATCTCAAGGTGATAGGAAATAATCCTGATAGTTAGTATTTAAGCAGTACTAAAGTGAATTACTATGAATCATCTCTTTTAAGTGAATTGGCCACAAAGTAAACAAAGATATACCTTGTAAATTCAAGGATAAAAAATAATCTGCATCCATCACTTTTTGTATGTTCTGTTGTTCCAGACATAGACCTATTTATATTTTTCTCACTTTTTTTAAAAATTGTTTGTTTTCTATTAATCTGTTTACTCATTTTATCATCCTACATGGCTTCATTATTTATTCTGATGTTAGACCTTTCCTTGAAGACTTTGGATATTGCTGTTTCGTATGTATTTTACATACATTCAAATCTTTATTACCCAGCATTTTGGGAAGATCTCTGTCCACTGAAGATCATCAGTGTTGCTCCAGCTGCTCTCCCTGCCTTTCGTCCTTGGTTCTTTGTTGACACACACCCCATGACAGAGGGTTTCCCCTGCTTCCTTCCTAGAAATATCATGGCAACAAATAATTATCCAAGTGCATTAAACAAACCTAGTGTAGTCCAACCTACATATTTTTAGTGCTCTTCCAGCCATTGATTCCGGTTCTCTGTATTGAGGACTCTCAGCAGTTATCAGAATGAGGCTGAAGTGCAGTGTTGGTGCACACTTCCATTTGCTACCGCAAGCCGTTTGCTATCACAAACTCAGGAAAACTCCTACATTGCTGGCCAGGCTGGTGGCCTCTATGTCCTAGTCAGCTACATTCTCACATTCTCCTTCCCAGGGGAAGTAGCCTGCTTCCTCAACTGTTCTAGAACATTTTAGAAAGTCCAGATTATCTATAGAACTGTAGTCTGGGATGCAGAGAGCTAGCTGTCCATTTAGTTTTTACCACCAGGAGTCACTACTCATCTTTTCTGTGCTTTTAATTATAGCCAAGATTTGAGGGAGATTATCAGTGTTACTGCTTGTAATTCACATCTGAATGTACAGGCTAAGAGATTCAGATGTGGTGAGCTTCAGACACTTTCCTCCCATTCTAGCCATGATATCTGGGATGCTTGGCTGGTTGATGGCCACAGGGATTGGAGGAGGGAGTAGAGTAAAGCAAGAGTAGAGTTCAGTTGATTGGACCTCTCTCTAGTTCTGTTTCTCCCTATAACTTCTGGGAGTAGTCTCTCCTTCCACCATGAAAATCAAGCTCAGGCTTTCAGCTTCAGCTCACTGAGCCATCTCACCAGCTCTCTCTTCCTTTTTAAAAAATGATTTAGCCGGGCGTGGTGGCACATGCCTGTAGTCCCAGCACTTGGGAGGCAGAGGTAGGCAGATCTCTGTGAGTTCAAGGCCAACCTGGTCTACATAGTGAGTTCCAGGACAGCTCGGGCTACAGGGAGATCCTATCTCAAAAAGACCGAAAAAAAAAAAAATTAAAGGTGGCTTTTACTGGCCTCCTTTTTTTAGATTCTGAGCATACAAAGTAATGAATTTCATGATGCCATCTTTATACATATGTGCCATTAGACTTTGCTCACATTTGTCCCCCAAACCCCTCCCTCTGTTTGCTTATGTTTGGTTTTTGACATAGGGTCTCACTTTATAACCCTGACTGGCCTGGAACTTACTGTGTAGACCAGACTGGCTCAAACTCCCAGAGATCTACCTGACTCTGCCTCTTGACTTCAGGACTAAAGGCATGTATCACCATGCCCAGCCTTGCTTATTTTTTTTAAATAGTTATAAGCTTTAAATTTCTTCACTTTGATGAATATATTTTTCTTTTTAATTAAGTAATTAATTTAGCTTTTAAAAAATATATATAGTCACACTCTATAGTAGATTGGCCTAGAACTCACCATGTAGCCTTAACTGTTCTGAACTTGAGGCGATCCTCCTGTCTCAGCATCCTTAAGTGCTGAGATTATAGGTAAATATAATCACTTCTGAAGTGACAAAAAAGGATTTTAAGTTTCTTTTAATGTACATAATTGTCCTAGTTTGTTTCTCCTTTGCTGTGACAAAACATTCTGACCACTACCAACTTGGGGAGAAAAGGGTTTATTTAGCTTACATCTCCCAGGTCACAGTTCATCAGGGAGCCCAAGGTAGGAACTCAGGGCAGGAACCTGGAGGCAGGAGCTGGAGCACAGGCCATGGAGCAATGCTGCTCAGCCTGCTTTCTTATGCAACCACAGGCCCACCTGCCCAGGGGTGGCACCACCCACAGTGGGTGGGCCCTCCCACATTACTCATCAAGAAGATGCCCCATAGATATGGCCACAGGCCAGTCCAATAAAGGCAATTCCCCAATTGAGGCTCCCTCAACCCAAGTGTGTCAAGTTGACACTAAAGCTATCCAGCATCATACTCAAATTGTACTTGGCATTCTTGTTTCCTTGATGCTGTCTGTGCTGAAGCAGACAGGATGAACTACCATAGGATCTGCATAGTAATCATAAAACCCTCCTTTTTTACACTAGTTTTTGGTCTCTGGATACATAGAACAAATCCAGCTGTGTGTGTGTTTTCCGTGTTGCTGGGACATGGAGTGGATCATAGCTTGGGCTCTTAGCCTATCCAATGTTCTTTTTCCAGAAAGATGCATACTTCTCTCTGATGCCACACTCCTCCCTGATGAAATTCCTCTAAGAGTTTATCATCTGGACTGCTGGTGATAAAGTCTCTCTAAATTGACAGATTTTTTCCCCCCCTCTCTTTAAAGTACTTTTTGCATAGTTTTGTTCTGCTTTGAGGCCCATGGGTAAGAGGCCCATGGGAAAGAGAGCGTGCCATAAATACTGTTTTTCTGCTTATAATTCCCTTGTGTATGTTAGACATTGTGAGATTTCTGTGGAAGTATAGAAACTCCAAACTATGTGTCTCCCTTCTCTCATGCCCCTTGTGACTTTGAGGAAATGTCTTTTTGCCTGGGATTATGAACTATAGATCCTAGAGCCTGGAAGCTGAAGCCTCCCTGTTTCATTGCTATGCGCATGTCCGTGTTAAATAAGATGCGGTGACTATAAGGCTTCAGTGTGAAGGAAAGCTTTTCACCCATTTCCCTAGAACTATAAAAATGTTATCAGTTGTCAAATTAGTGTATGCAATGCTCTCTTAAAGTTATAAAGCCAATATAAGTCTATGGGTGAAAATTTCTAAAGCCTTAAAAAAAAATGTAAGGAAGAAAATACAGATTTTATGATTCTCCATGCTTTGCTGAGCACTATTAAAGTCCTGCTGGAGAATTTCCTCCCAAATTTTTCAGTGAAAATTTGTTCAGTTAGTTAAGAAAACTAGGATTACCTGAACATTCAGTAGGCTTTCTTACCATAGGGATGTGTTCCCAGTCCTATATAGATGCCTAAAACATGGCAAGAACCAAATCCTACCCTCTGTGTTTTGCCCTATTCATTTTTTGCCATAAAATTTAACAACTCTTACATATATTTTTTTTCCTTCCTTTTTAAGTTGA